TCTACCGACTATTTGGCCAACGTACTATTAGTACCGGCACGAACGATTCCCATACCGCGCTTGGTAAAGCTGAAATAGTCACGCAACCCAAGGCCGCAGCCTCCAGCGCATCCATTGACACGATTTCAACTACACCGATCGATACCGAGTCTCCAGAGCCATCTTTCCCTTCCACCAATACCCCTAGATTGTCGACGCCGGCACCACTACTTTCGCCTCGCGCTTTCCCCTTAATGATGCCTTCGCCACGATCTCCACCGCCCCCTCTGCCTCCTCGCACGTCCCCCGCGTTATCAGCCGCGTCAGAAGCGCTGAAAAAGGCTGCCGCCGCCGATGACGTCGCTCGTAATTCGAGGCCAGAAACGCCTCAAGCAAGTCGCACGAGCGACGAATACGCGTCGGGAACATCCACGCCCAAGGACCCGGCACGCAGGGCATCGTCCCCTCCGCCTCTGCCGCCTCGTACATCCGTTCCCGCAGGCTAAACCTGGACCCTCCTCGCTCGTATATGTGTATCATAGTTTTGCCCCCTGCCATTTATAGCCACCCTGTCAAAACCATACAAGTAGCGGCCTTCACTTTCTAGAGTTTTACATGCAAACTCGATTAGACATTGATTGCCCTTCTCGCCTATTCTCTTTTGCCCGTGATACGATTGCATGTGTAATATACATCCCCTGTCATGTCCCCCTGAATGCACCCGCGCAAATATATCTTTTGACTCGTTCAAACCATGTGGTTTCAATTCCGATGTAGCAGTTGAAATCAATTTGTGATGAGCAAGCGCCGATAAACAAACAACGCCAAAGTTACATGGGGGGCTGCATATACCACCATTTCCGGAGTGCCCCAAGGTGACTAGAGGCACCTCTCAATAATATTCGCGAGTAGCATGTATTTCTGTGGCTCTATCCCGTACGCCAACATAGAGGAAATAACTGAAATTCAAGCAGCTTGCCTACCAATCTGGAATAGGCTCGACCTATTCCGGCGACTCACCCATGGGAATCTCAGAAAAATCACCCGGAGGTTTTGGTGGTTTAAGCGATTTTACTCGAGAGCAGTTCAATGGTAAAAATGCCAGTACCAAATCCAGCATCCTTCGAGTTGCCGGGACATCTAGTTCAGTACCCATTGTACTTCGTGCTGGGGAGCTTACATCTTAGCCCTAATTAAACCGGTCAGCTTCAACTCTGCTGCAGGATTGAGGTCCAACATGGCTTGATTATACACGATACGTATCATAGTGGTATCATGAGGTGAACCATCGTTGAAATACCATTCTAATTCCTCACACATCTCCAATAACCCACAGCTAACTACACAAACCACAGTTCATGTTGGTCAGAGCGAATAATAGCTCATGAGGCTTGCCAGTCTACGATCATGTACGTTAGCGATCAGCCTAGGCCAAGATACGGCTATATAGTAACTTACATCTCTTCTCTTCAGCACCACTGCTAATTTTCCCAGGATAATGTCTGTCCTCAACCAAGGGTCCGCAATGGCTGATGACTTGGCGCCATTTTGCAAGGTAAACGTTGTGTGCACCAAACCGACCGGCCTTCCAGTACGTCCTTAGTGAACGGAGACCAGGCCAAATTGAGAGCAGTTGCCTGCCATGCGAGCATAAACCCACAATTCAATCAACTAACAAGTACACAAACCTGGCGACATCTATGGTATTTTCTCCCGCTAATGGTGAGTAGCCAAGGTCGAGTTCAAGCGGAAGCGAGGTCGCTTGTGCTCCCCTCTGGGTGACACTAGTCCCAAGAGCTTGAAACTCGACATCCAAGGTGACTTTCAAAACTTCGAGCCGCGGGCAGACTTTAGAAAGTTCCTCTAAGCCGGCCATGTTCATTACACGCGGCCTAGTCGATTGCCTCACGGAATCAACACCGGTGACGGTCTCCGTAATGCATAGTCTTGACAAATAGGGCCATGAAGTCCCAAGAGAATGAATTTCGTTTAAGTTGAGTACGCAGCCGTGATATGCACCAGTACATTTGATAACAACCGAGCGGAGTTCGTGACAACTGAGCAAGCACGAGAGCGAGGACCATGGCGCCAATGCGTATGCCTCGTTTTCAATATCCCATAGTGGTTCACTGTAGTCCCATCTATCGGCGTCGATCACAAGACAAAAATTATGCAGAGAGCAGCCACGGTTCCCCAGCAGAAGGAATAAAGAGTGCGTGGCATGTGGTGAGGGAATCTCGTATGCGTTGGTGAACTCGAGCTCAAGGGACTCGAGACGTTCCACAGGAAAATGCGACAGAATTAAACAGGTCGCTTCGTATATGCTATGAAATGAGAGTATGCACAGCGCCTTTAAACGGGGGAACCGAGTCGATACATGCCCCGACTGAGCTTCGTGCCCTAACTGGGGCAAGACCACTTCTTCAGGGGTATGATACAATGACAACTCGGATAGAAACGGGAACCCTGCAAGAAGATCCAGCATATGGGCGGACAAAGGAAACCCTTTTACGGACATGAGTGAGGTCAACCGAGGCACAGCAGTCAGATAATCGCCCGGTAGGAGATCGGAAAAGCCATGACTAGTTCCCGCGAGCCCAAGGTCATAGTCCTGTTGAAGGGCGGGTATTGAGAGAGAGCGAACATACTCGGTGACAGATCGAGTGAACCCTTCGTATATGGTGTTGTTCACCCAGATAAGGTTAACGTGCCGCAAACCAGGGGGGATTGTAGTGAATATTCCAGCGAACATTTCAACACCGAGCAATTGTGCCGAGGGTGATGTCAACACTGCAGCGGCCTGCTGTAATAATGAAGGGGTATACTTTATCCTGATCGTAACTGAGACGAGATTCGGGAAGAGCGGTGCAGAGTAAGTGGTTGTTAGAGGGCGAGTAGCAGCCAGTCGTTTAACAGGCAAAAGGAAGCTCCAGCTACGGTAGGCGCTGTTAAAGTTGAAATATACCTTGAGCACATGCGAAGCATAGTAACCGAAGCGAGCCCATCTGGCAGGACTGGTATCGATTTCACCCGTGCTTGGCCCGTCCATGCTAAGACAACGCTGATCAAACGCAGACATTAGGTCCTAATGCTTGCACATAATGAGGGTATCATGACGTTACCGAAGCTTGAGCTATAGCATCCCATCGCCAGTCCTGATAGCTTGAGTCCCTATCGAAGAAAAGTGCGAGGAGCGGGTAGAAACTGGGAAGTTCGCTCCAAATCTCCCGCAAGGCGAGGTGGGATAGCCATCGGTTGACTGTCGCAAGGGGGAGCAAAATATATTTTTCGTGTCGTAGGTGTGTGATGATGATATGCCATATATCTTGGTACGCGTTCAAGTCAAGATGTCGGGGCTGTTTGTCGCGTTGCGAGTATCATTCACAAGGCACCTCCATACCAATAATTGCACGCACCATTTCCGCATCCATATACAAGCTATCACTCACAGCTTTAGTGGGTTCAGTATACGCCCTGGCTTAGGGTTGTAGAAACTTTAGGCTACTTGCTGCTGTAGTTAATTAGTCAGCGTGATGTTCAAAACAAATACAATACCAATTCTAAGCAACACAAGACGGCGCTAAAGTTCAATCGCCCCTCATAGCGCAATTAAATAAGACATTTCAGCGCACCGTTACCTGGGGCTAGATGTTGGGCTAACCCTTCCGGCTCGCGCTGTAGCATCGGAGCTTTGCTGAGTGTTTGGTGCACCGCTTGAGCGAACACAACTAGCGCAGCTTATCAGTAGTGCAAAGGCAAGATTTTTGGGCGCAATTACCATATAAATTAATCGCCAAGTCTCCTATTCGCCAGCATCAGCTGTACTAGAGCTCTAAAGCGCCCATATCGGAGCTATGGGCCATTATGATTCGGAGGCATAAACGATCGGGTTACTGGGAGGTTGTGCAATAGGCATTGTAATGTCGTTCTAGCCGTCATGACCTGGTCGGAGGATCCAGTTTCTGGTAGGCTGTTCGCCAATATAACCCGTGTGGGTACAGCGTAAGTTAACGTGCAAAATTCGCGTATTTTAACCTGCAACCAAGGCCTAGAAACTAGAGTAAAATATAGTCAATCGGAGTATGTATGCGTCAAAATTTGAGGTATGAGATAGCATGCTAAGCATACCTAGTGAGTTTTCTGCAGCAAAGCGGTTTGGAAGAGGTACAGCTGGAAATATCTTGCCTATTTCACGAAGAATATCTATAAAACAATGTCAAGGGTGGAGACAAGGGCAGCACAACGTACTCGTTCTACAACTCGAGCAACTTATCTAACTCCTACTACCTCTCCTACTTCAGCTCCTTCTCAAATGGCTCGCAACTTCGATGCACCTAATGGCAACTGGGCGGAGCGCCTCAACGAGTGGATTCAACAGACCGGCCGTGGTGTTTCTGCGAACTGGGATTACGAAAACATTGGCACCCAGGGCAACCCATCCTGGCGAGCCACGCCCATCAGTAAGCGCATATAACGTGTAACAGGCCCGTAAAAGGGCTGAAATAACCGCGCGTCTCATAGTCCAAGACAACCCGATCCCAGAATGCGCAGGCGTGGGCTCTACCCAAAAGGCTGCTAGGCGCGAAGCTGCTGAGAATTTGTCAAATTGGGACTTTCAGGTCAGTGTTTGTGGGCTATTGCTTGGCTACGTTGGCTGGTCTGAAACCTTGATTTAAGTAATGGCGGTTACTCCCGGCGTATGTCGATTTGGGCTGTAGTATAGTATTCTGGCTGTAATGAATGATGAATTTAATGAAACCTTGGTGCATTTATACCGCGGCTGAGAGCTTGAGTCGATGAGGTTATATTTGTCTCGCTATGAGGGTAGGTCTTACGATGAAACCTAGTGTGAAATATACGGCTTAGCAAATGAATTCGCAGTCCCAGTGCCATAATGAATTATCAGTCTTCTGGAGGTTCGATGTGGGCCCCGCAGTCCATTCATATAGATGTTCTACAAACTTGTGAACATTCCGAGCGTCCGTGCAAGGGTCATATATGCTCGGGGGAATTTGAAATAAACGTCCATGGTGAAGTGGTTATCATGCTTGCCTTCCATCACAGATGCCCAGCAAGCGGGACGGGTTCGATTCCCGTTGGGCGTAGTAATTTTTGGTCTTTTTGGGGGCCCGAAACGGTCTCAAACCGTGAGAGTCGCATAGCTTGGCAGCAATGGGAGCTCGATCGAGGCTTCTCGTATTCGGGTAGACTGGCGAGTTATTCACCCAGGATTATTTATCGATCGAACCTAACACGCGTCTACAACTGAAGGTGGGACTACATTCCAGCTAGTGCAACACCAGAGCGTTGTACATACATCAGAGTCTACATGAATCATGCAGCTACAAAACAGGCGTCACAACCAGACCAGGAAGCGGTGAATTTGAACAGCAATAAAATGTGGGAAAATAAAGAGCAGAGTTCGTAGAAGCAACATGAAATTAAATGAATTCGTAACGGGATTCCCGGTTCTCGTGAGAATAGAGCTAAATTTTCGCTTGGTTTAGGCGTTGACGACTAGGGAGCCGCGGGCACCGTCCCCACGGCGCATGGAGCGGATTGCGCAGACGATGACCACAAAGATGGCAAAAGTGCATAGAATCCTAGGAGCCCTCGCCTCAGTTGAAGTTCAAAGCAGGCGACAAAAAAAAAGACTTACCACTCGACCCATGCAAACCCCTCCAACGCGTTGAGCTGGTTGCAGTATACGATTTGTTCTTGGGTGTTGCTGTGATGGCGTGAATTAAGGCGTGATGACATAATCGTCGATGACGTTAACTTACGAGCAGTTGTTTCCCCCGCCCAGCGCTGCGGTGATTGATGCAGCCCCGGCAACCCAGAGAACCCAAGTTATGCCTGAAGTAGTCTGTTAGCACGGTACCTACGAACATGAAATGGAGGAAATTATCCCACCGAGGAATACCAAGTGGACAAGGACGCTCGTGGTCATGCTGCCTGTTGGCGAGCGCATAAACAAGGCGAGTAGGATTGCTATCAGATTAGCGGAATGTCAGATTTTGTAGGGGCGATGTGTCCATGCAGAAAATCCCACCGCAGAAGAGTACAGTCCACCAGCTGGTGAATGTGATGAGGCGAGTGCGGTCCCGCACAGAGAGGCTAAGATAGTTGTGGTGTCGGTTGAACTGAGTGGTGAGCCATGTTGCGATTGCACCCTGCAAGGTCATTCTCAGTATCACCCCCGGTAGAGAGCCACAATACAACACACCTCGATGATGCCAAAGAATATCAAGAGGCTAAATGTGACTGGGGTGAAACGTGAATGTCAGCGATCAACGAGGCAAAAATAAAGTACGGTGCTCACTGGGGTGGCCGCGGCGAATGTGCGTGTCAAGACCCATAACTGCTGTGGTGGTGGAGGTCGGACGCCGAGCTCAGTCAAACTGAGGTCACATATCGTGAGACATTTGGCCACGTGATTATAGCGCTAAATAGACGCCATTTCGAATTCCGTCGATCATTGGTTGCCTCGATGAGCTTCCGCTCGACGCTAGCACTGCTCAAGAACGCAGCCGCACACGTATCTCACGCACCCAACGCGCCTTTGGAACTTGATCCCGCACTTAGCCGACTATTACACGACACGAACTTGTCTCTACTTCGCAAATTTCGGCATGGATCCAAACACTATGTA